ACGTGCTGACATCAATGCAAGCCAATCTTGAACCTCCTTCACCACTGAATGTGATGAGTTTAAGCTCTTGATTACTTGCAAAGCACTACGAGAGTCACAATATATTGTAATAGAATTGTTCGTAGGATCTCTAGTCATCTTGACTGCTGCAAGGATGGCAAGTAATTCTGCAGTGAAAATCGAGGCTGATCGAGAAAGACTGCCAGATGCAGTCTTCCTTCTGCTCACTGCTGCAAAGCCCACACCATTTTCAGATTTCGAACCATCTATATATATTGCATATGATCCCTGGTACTTAGAAGTGTGTTGAAGAAATATCTCTCTGACTTCTGCTTCGGATCTCTCCCCTTTCCCAATTCCGACCAAATCAAGCTCGACTTGATTAGTCCAAAGGGGGACTTGGGAAGTTCCAACAGCCAGAACCTTTGTGAGATTTAAATTAAGATCGTCCACAAGATTCCTCATTCTCCTATCATAGGATCGGCTATCCTCAAGGGGGTTGAAAACCAATCTGGATGTAGGAGATCCCGGAATCCTTTGTAGTCTCGTGTAGTAAATCAGGTTCATGTAGTCCCGGTGTAATGAAAGAGGTGGTTCTCCACTCTCAACATACAGGGACTCCACAGGTGAAGACCTGAAAGCCCCTATACAGATTCTCAGAGCTTCATTATGAACCGAGTCCAACATCCGGAGAACAGTGGGAGTTGCAGATGAATAAGCTTCACATCCATAGTCAAGTTTACTACGAATAAGTGCTCGGTAATGTCGCAGAAGCGTTGTGCGGTCTGCACCCCAAGATAGGTGGGAAAGAACCCGCAAAATACTAAGCGCTTTTGTAGCTTTCACTTTTAACTGTTTAATGTGAGGCACCCATGTAAGTCTTGAGTCAAAAATTAGACCCAAGTACTTTACCTGTTGGACAAAATATAGTGGGTTTGCTCCTAAATAGAGGGAAGGGTGAAACTTTCCTCGTTTGTGGAAATGCATAGCCATAGTCTTGCTTGGAGGAAACTTTGAAGCCATGGTATGTTGCCCATTGCACCTGATTTATTGCAGTCTGCATGTGTCCTTGCACATCCTGTAAGCTTCCTCCTGAGCAGTGCAGTGTAAAGTCATCCACATACAGACTACATGAGACAGCACTTGGAACGACCTTAACGATGTCATTTATGGCAATGGCAAACAGGGTCACACTTAAGATGCTCCCTTGTGGGACTCCTTCCAGCTGATCTTCCAGGTTAGAGAAGCTATTTCCCACCCTGAGTCTAAACTTCCTGTTAGCAAGGAAGCTTTGTATGAAGGTTGGAAATGCTCCTTTAAACCAATGTCATACAGCTTCATGAGTATCCCATGCTTCCAAGTCGTATCATAAGCCTTTTCAAGGTCAAAGAAGACTGCTAACATATGGCGTCGCTGTGTGAAGGAATTCTGTATAGCAGTTTCCATCCTCACAAGTGCATCTGTGGTCGATCTGTTTTCTAAACCCATATTGATATAGGGTCAGCACGTTTTCTTTTTCTAGCAGCCATGTCAACCTGAAGTTTACCATTATCTCCATCAACTTGCAGATATAGCTGGTGAGATTGGTCTATAATTCCCTGGTATGGAAGCATCCTTGCCAAGTTTAGGGAAAGGAATGATTATAGCTTCTTTCCATGTGGATGGCACTGTTCCCTCTCTGTAGATCCTATTGAATAGATCCAACAGGAACGTTTGGGAGCTCTCCAGTAAGTGAGATATCATTTGGTATGGAATACCGTCACTTCTTGGGGCAGTCTTACGGCAGAGCTGCAAAGCAGAGTCCATCTCCTTTCGCAAAAATGGCAAGTTGTATGGAAGTTCTGCTGCAGTGCTACTGAAGAACGACACTGGGTGTCGTTCCTGTTCAGCCCAAGGAGTAGAGAATCAGGCAGTGTAAGATGCTCCAGACGAGATCTCTGCCATGGATTTCGCCAGTTCATTTGCAACATCTATTTTGTCTGTGAGGATTATGCCATCTATTTTCAGAATAGGTGGTGATATGGATGTGCTCTTCCCAGCGATCTTACGCATCTTGTCCCATACCCATGCTAAGGGGGTCCTAGAGTTAGTCAAGGAGACATACTGCCTCCACGATATCCATCTAGCTTCCTTTAGCACTCGCCTGGCCTTGGCTCTGGTCTTTTTGTATTGGACTTGTTCGATTGTTTTTTACACACAGATGGCTACACTTGTACTAAGTATCCAATGAGCCAATTAAGAGTACTGCCTGCCTCGCCCGTTCACCCTTTTCATCGATTTACGAAAATATTTAACGTTATCCTAATTTACTGTTAAAAATAACACCATCTATATTTATAGCACTAGTAAAAATACGTTTTTTTCCCGCCAATTCAAGGAAAGGTGAAATCAGGACTAGCAGAGCCATCTATGGACAGAGATATTTCACAAAAATATAAAAAATGAGTACTGCATTTCCCCCATTTTTTTTTTCATTTTCCCCGGCGGCAATGGGTTAAAA